ACCAGTAAGAAGCCTGGTGTAAGAACCAAGGTTTACCAGTCGGAACCCTGGTGTAAGAACCTAGGTTTACCAGTAAGAACCCTGGTGTAAGAACCTAGGTTTACCAGTAAGAAGCCTGGTGTAAGAACCAAGGTTTACCAGTCGGAACCCTGGTATAAGAACCTAGGTTTACCAGTAAGAAGCCTGGTGTAAGAACCAAGGTTTACCAGTCGGAACCCTGGTGTAAGAACCTAGGTTTACCAGTAAGAAGCCTGGTGTAAGAACCTAGGTTTACCAGTAAGAACCCAGGTGTAAGAACCAAGGTTTACCAGTTGGAACCGTGGTGTAAGAACCAAGGTTTACCAGTCGGAACCCTGGTGTAAGAACCTAGGTTTACCAGTCGGAACCCTGGTGTAAGAACCTAGGTTTACCAGTAAGAAGCCTGGTGTAAGAACCTAGGTTTACCAGTAAGAAGCCTGGTGTAAGTACCTAGGTTTACCAGTAAGAACCCAGGTGTAAGAACCAAGGTTTACCAGTTGGAACCGTGGTGTAAGAACCAAGGTTTACCAGTCGGGGGGAGTTCTGCTGAACTAATCACATCAGTGTGTGATGGCCTGCGAGCCGGATTGAACGACAACAAACCGATATATTACTGGGGGAATATTGATGGTGAGACACAGCAGCTTTGTAGTTAGTTTAAACAAAGTTTATCATAATTAGGATGTAGTGACAAAGTCCATGCTCAATTATCCAGGGATACAATCCAACAATTTTCAGTCAGGTCATCTGGACGGTTTCTTTTGTGCTGAAACGTTTCACCTTCCATCCAGAAGGCTTCATCAGTCAAGGAAACACACAACACAAAACTGATTCTTCCCCCAACAGCTTACTCCAAAGTGGAACAAACCAGTTATGTTGGTGCTAAGATGGTGTCTTTGGCACGCCCCCTCTTCCATTGCCGGCCCTCTTCCTCACCAACAATCAAACTGGTTCAAAACCAACAAAGTCCATGGTCAGTCATCTTATAGCCAGATATTTTCCCGAATTTTTGAAGCAAAGCAAGTTCGACATATAAAGAAACTTTGTGTTCTGTACCTGATTGATTCATCCCTTTAAAGATGGAGTTTCATCTGGAACAGAAACGTCCGTAATTCAGGAAACATCAAAAACAGTCAACTTTCTTTTTTTCTTTTTTTTAAGCTTAAAGATTTGGCAGGTCAGAGATGTTAGAATAAAATTTGTGTTAAATAGGAGGCGTAATGAGTCATTTTTGTTTTTATTTGGTTTCACATTAGAATATCACAACTTTTATGGCAAGGAAATCGAAATGTAATTTATTTGAATTACACATTTGGGTTCTGTTTATTGCTTTTATGATTCATCCATCCATTATCTTTACCCGTTTATTCCATTTTGGGTCATGGGGGTCGCCGCTGCCCATGTCCAGCAATCACTGTGCAGGAGGTGGGGTACACCCTGGACAGGTCTCCTGTCCATCACAGGGACACATAGAGACAAACGAGACAAACAACCATTCACTCTCTCACTCACACCTAGGGACAATTTAGAGTTACCAATCAGCCTAACATGCATGTTTTTGGACTGTGGGAGGAAACTGGAGTACCCGGAGAAAACCCACGCATGCACAGAGAGAACATGCAAACTCCACCCAGAAAGACCCCTGGACCGGGGTTTGAACCAGGGACCTGCTCGCTGAGAGGCAGCAGCTCTACCAGTTGCACCACCGTGCTGCTGCTTTTATGATTCAATGCAGCAAAACAAACCGATTTAAATCATTGTAATCCTTAGTTTCTTTACATAATGACTGTAAATGCTGGATGACTGGCCCCTGAGCAGTTTAGTTGAAGAGCCCTGGCACATATTCTTTCTTCCTTTTTCAGGTGTTCTCCGTGAATAGTTGTCCAGACTTCCTGAAGTATGTTCATGATTCGGTTCCTTTGTCTTGTTTTCTGTCCAGATGAGCTCACGCTGCTTCAGTCATGTTGGTATCTGGTCCTGACAGGGTTTTTCTTTATCTAGAACTACAAAGACCAGACGAATGAGATGTTTTCTGCATGGTTCATACTAGTTCTGCATTTGTACCTCTTAGTTTTGATCTTGAACTCTTCTGGCTGAACATTGGTCCCAAATCACCTGAGTCTCTGCAGACATCCTAAACACTCTGTTGCATCTCTGAGGATGCTCTCCATACACACTGATGAGCGGTTAGGATCAGAGCTCCGTAACACCTCTTTGCTCTGTAAATGTGTAAGTATATCTGTGCAGGTCTCTGTAAAACTGCAGCTTTCTTTCTGCCTCTGTCCATGTTCAAGGTGAGAAGTGAAGGCCAGGTGGAGGAGCAGTCCGAGAACGATCACTGTCGAAAACTCATCAGCTTCACTCTGTCAGGTGAGGAGAATAAATCTGTTCAATTCTTCTAGACATAAACTAGAAAAAGCTTACAACTTTTTCATATCAGACATTCGAGCGGTGGGCTTGAAGAAGGGCATGTTTTTCAACCCTGACCCCTACCTGAAGATGTCCATCCAGCCTGGGAAGAGGAGTGGACTCCCTAAGTTCACCCACCATGGCCAGGAGCGACGCTCCTCCATCATCGCCAACACCACCAACCCTGTGTGGCACGGGGAGGTGAGCACATGGACGTTAAAGAATGAAAACGCTGGCTAAAGACTAAAAACAGCAGAACAGTACTTAAACATGAAAAGTATCAAATAGCTAGCTACAAGTATCCAAGGCAAGCTAAAAGCTCCATATAACAAAGCACTGTTGAACAGCTACAAACAGCAGACTGGTACCTAAACGTTAGAAATATCAAAAGGCTAGCTACAAGCTAAAAGAAGTAGAACAGTAGCTAAATGCCTAAAGTAACAAAATATTAATTAAAAGCTAAAAGCATCCTGTACCGTACAGAGACCCTCAATGGATTTCATTGAGCAGTACTTAAAAGTACTGTTCAATGAGCAACAGAGCAGTACTTTTAGGGGCGGCTGTGGCTGAGTGGTTCGAGCAGTCGTCCTGTGCAAGAGCTGGAGTTAGATTCCACCAGCAGTCACATGCTGAAGTGTCACTGAGCAAGACACTGAACCCCTCATAGCCTCTGACATGTGTCCCATTGGTGTATGAATGTGCTAAAGCTCTGATTATTCTTTATAGAGATCTAGTATAGAGCTGTATGAATGGGTAAATGAGGCACAGATTGTTATAAAGAGCTTTGAGTATCTCGATAAGATAGAAAGGAGCTATAAGTACAGTCCATTTACTTAAAAGTTAAAAATATCAAAAGGTTAGCTAAAAGCTAAAGGTATCAAAAGGCTAGTTAATAACTAAAATCAACAGAATGGTACTTAAAAATTAAAAGTATCAAAAATCTGACAAAGTCCATGCTCAATAATCCAGGGATACAATCCAACAGTTTTCAGTCAGGTCATCTGAACAGTTTCTTTTGTTGCTGAAACGTTTCACCTTCCATCCAGAAGGCTTCATCAGTCAAGGAAACACACAAGACAAAACTGATTCTTCCCCCAACAGCTTACTCCAAAGTGGAACAAACCAGTTATGTTGGTGCTAAGATGGTGTCTTTGGCACGCCCCCTCCTCCGGTGCCGGCCCTCTCCCTCGTCGACAGTCATGTCAAACTGGTTCTAAACCAACAAAGTCCATGCTCATGGTAGTTGAAAATTAAAAGTATCAAAAGGTAAAAGTGTGAGGATGGTGCCCCCTTGTGGTGTGTCTCTAGTCCTGCTCCTCCTTGTATCACTCCCTGTTTTCTATACCTGTGATGCGTTGCAGGCGTTTGACGTTGTCTCATTAGCGTCTCTGTATTTAAGTCTGCGTCTCAGTGTTTCTCATTGTCTGGGCATTGTTTGGTTATGTGCCGTTTGCTTCTCGTGTCTTCCCTATGTGCTTCCTGGATGAGTAAGTTTTGCTGCCATGTCAGCTCTTTGTTTTTTGTTAATAAACAGTTTTAGTTATATATCCTCTGAATCCTCGAGTCCTGCCTGCATTTGGGTTCAACCACCACTCCAGATCGCAACAGAATGCCCAGACCAAAACATGAACCCAGCAGGTGGATGACTTGTGCTGAGTACCTGACCCAAGAAGCTGCTTGAACTGCCCGGTGGGAGCAAGCCAAGAGGAGGAGTCCGTCATCCAGTGGCGTGGGTTCCGGATTGAACTTGCCTGGAGACAGAGACACCGCAGCTTGAAGGTGGAGATCCTTCTGTCGCTTCTTCTGGTGGAAGACAAGGAAAGGAGGAGGAGGTCTCGGCTCCAGGGAAGCTGCCTGGCTTTCAAGCCCGGGTTTTTCTCCTCTCCAACACCTCGCTCCTCATGCAAGTTTTTTGAATGGACATCTGAGGAAGACGCAGAGACTGAAGATGAGCTCTGGTTCGCGTCTGGTCCCAGCTTACGCCGCTGCCACAGGAGGGGCCAATGACAGACCCAGAACCAGCCTACTGAACTTCCGCCAGTACCTTCTGCGCCCCCAACATTTTCCACTCAGCCCAGCGAGACTGAGCCTCAAGAGACACCTGCTCCCAGCATCTCAGTGGGTTTTGGCTGCAACAACCCACCTGCTCCCCGTGTCTCTGAGAAAGTCCTGGAGAACGCCTCTCACCTTTTCTCCAAGAGGGTCCAGGAGGACACTTCTCATCCCTCCTCATCTCCTGAGCCACCAGCTCTTCGTCCTGTGCCTCTGGCATTGTCTGTTCAGCTCGGCGAGGCTGAACCTCCAGAGTGCCCGCCTCAACCAACGAAGCAGCAGAACCTTGACGACAGCCCACCTCCATGTCTCTCCCAGTGGCTGTTAAATGCAACAATCCACCAGAGGTTTCCATGCCACATGAGGGTTCCACGCCTCGTGAGGGTTCCACACCTCCAGAGGGTTCTACGCCCCCTGCAGCCCCCGAGGTAACTACACCCACTGCAGCCCCTGAGGTAGCTACGACAACTGCAGCCACTGAGGTCTCGATGACAGCTGCAGTCCCCTGGTCTCCACGACAGTTGTAGTCCACGTGGTCACCAAGACAGCTGCAGCCTCCCAGGTCTCAATGCTACCTATAGCCCTCCAGGTCTCTTCACCAGCTGCAAATCTGCTGGTTCCAACACCTGCTGTCCTCATCTCAATGTCTTCACCGTGGTCTCCTGGCTGCCTACCTGACATGGTGCCCTGAACTGGTGCCCCATGCTGGATGGTCGTCAGTGTCTATCACGGTGTCGATCATCATTGATTCTCCACCTTAACTGTTGCCCAGTGATGGACGGTCTTCTGACCGCCCGCTGGACCTTCTCCCCGATGACGGACAGTCTCTCGGCCATTCATCTGAACTGTGGTCCCGTGCTGGATGGTCTCCTGGCCGTCCACATAAACTCTTATGTTTTCCTTTCGTGTGTCTGGTTCCCAGGCTCCATCCTCCATCCTTTTTGTTTTTTCTTCCTTGTGCTCCCCTTGTGGTCTCCATCCTCTCAGTTCCCTTCCTTCTACCCGAGTTTTGGGTGAGGGGATTTGGGACGTCAGGGAACGTCCTTGGGGAGGGGGTACTATGAGGATGGTGCCCCCTTGTTGTGTGTCTCTAGTCCTGCTCCTCCTTGTGTCGCTCCCAGTTTTCTATACCTGTGATGCGTCAAAGTTGTTTGCACTTTGTCTCGTTAGCGTCTCTGTATTTAAGTCTACGTCTCAGTGTTTCTCATTGCCTGGGCATTGTTTGGTTATGTGTCGTTTGCTTCTCGTGTCTTCCCTATGTGCTTCCTCGATGAGTACGTTTTGCTGCCATGTCAGCTCTTTTGTTTATAAATAGTTTATATCCTCCAGTCCTGCCTGCATTTGGGTTCAACCACCACTCCAGATCGCAACAAAAAGCTGTAAAGCAGCAGAACAGTACCAGAAAGTTAAAAGCAGCAAAGTGTTAGCTATAAGCCTTTATTTTCAGAAGCCTAGCTAAAAGTAACAGAAGCTTACCTAAAAGGATGAAAAGGCTGGCTAAAAACTAAAAGCAGCAGAACAGTACTAGAAAGTTGAAAGCAGCCAAGTGTTAGCCAGGGGTGTGCAACCTGCGGCTCTGGAGCCACATGCGGTTCTTTGGCAATGTCCATATGCGCTCTCGAGGTCACTGTAAGAGTTCTGATCAGGATGTAATAATCAGCCAGTGTCCTCAGGTGAGATCTGTAAACATGCTCGAGGTATCCAACATTTTTCAGTCAGGTCATCTGGACAGTTTCTTTTTTTGTGCTGAAACGTTTTGCCTTCGATCCAGAAGGCTTCATCAGTCAAGGAAACACACAACAAAACTGATTCTTCCCCCAAGAGCTTACTCCAAAGTGGAACAAACCAGTTCTGCTTGGTCTTCCAGCCTTCCGGATCGAAGGTGAAACGTTTCAGCACAAAAAAAAAGAAACTGTCCAGATGACCTGACTGAAAAATGTTGGATTGTATACCTGGATTATTGAGCATGGACTTTGTTGTTTTCAAGGTATGTTGGGGAATGGCCAAGGATAACATCTATGAGAATCCAAGAGTCCCGAAATGATGACACAAAGTTTATTCAACTGGTTTTCTCTGGTTGATCAGTTGGAAATTCCTCAGGGAGGGGGTGGTGAGCACCAGATCACATGTTCTCCAGGTGAATTCAGATAAGGTGGCCTTCAAGGACAGCCAAGGGAGCAAAATTCAGATAAACACACAGTTGTTTTGGGCACAGGCAAAACTTAATGACATCTACCTTGAGTCTGTGTTGGTCCACTCAGTTCTGAAATGTCCAAAATTACATGGCTACACCGATGGAACGTGACTGAGTAAAATCCCCGAGATCTGATCCATTCAGCCCAAAGCATTTGAGTCTGGGTACTCGAGACACGAACCAAGCCATCATAAAGGCAAGCAGTGTGATCGGGTCCAAATTTGCTGCCAATGACTTCCTTGATTGTAGATAAAACCAGCAACCAGCTGAATCCAAAAAGCAGGAACCAGTTATCGTAAATCCAATTAAATATGCGTCCTTAAAATCCACAAATAGCAGCAGAGATAGACACATCATCAAGTCTTCCAGTCGATGAGATATCCAGCTGCGTGCGTGCCAACAGGGCAAATTGGCTCGCCTAAAGCCTGTCTTCTCTTGAAGAAATGCTGTAAATTGAGTTGAGGGACCAACTGATCAAAACAAGTCCATAATTATGGTTCGGAAGATGCAAGAGAGGCTCACAAGCAGTTTCACAGACAGACAGAGCAGCAAAGCACAGCGGAGAGGGAGGGAAGAAGTGTCCGACCTTGGCAAGAGCAAGTGGTGAAGTGAAGGTAAAGGTTTCAGACCCCTGCTTTAAATTTCAGAAGGCTAGCTAAAACCTAAGTCCATCTGTGATGGACTGGAATCCTGCCCAGGTGTCCCTGTGATGGACTGGAGACCTGTCCAGGGTGTCCCTCGCCTCTCGCAGGGACTTCTGGATATGGACACCAGTGATCCCCCACGACCTGAAAAGGAAGAAACAGGTAAAATGGATTAATGGACTGTACTTATTTAGCGCCATCCTATCTTATTTCAAGATACTCAAAGCTCTTTACAACAATCTGTGCCTCATTTATCCGTTCATACAGCTCTATACTAGATCTGTACGAAGATATAAAATAAAATAATGGATGGCTAGCTAAAACCTAAAAGTGGTATAAAAAGACAAAAACAGAGCATGCACGCTGAAAGAGATCTTAAAGAGGACAACATTTTGAAGCAAGTACAATGTTTTTTATTGGGAAAAATATTTGTGAAGATATTTAAATATTTTGAAAAATATGAAAGTTACAAAACCAAAAGTCATACCATCTTTTTCCTGAATGAGCCGAACGTTTTGGTCTATAAATGGCTATCATAAAGTATTCAGAAGAAGTTACATAAATTCCTCCCAAAACTGGCAAAACAAAAGCAGAAAAATGAATTATAAACAACTCGGGGGTCATCCTATCTTTCTCTGACAACAGTTTGTGCATTTGTAAATCATAAATCTGTTGTTGTTTTGACAAAATTTGCACTCAGTATTGTGATCTTTTGCGTAGAAGTACACTTTTGTTGCGCTGATGACGGACGTGTTGGAGATCGAAGTGAAGGATAAGTTTGCCAAGAGTCGGCCAATCATCAAGCGATTCCTGGGTCAGCTGATCGTCCCTGTGCAGAGACTCCTGGAGGGGTCAGCAGTTGAGTGAGTTCACACCGGAGTCACGTGACACGCCGTGCTTCACACACCGGAAGACATTTTTATGAGCCCAATGTTTGATCGTTGACCATCAGAGGGCAGCACTGATGTCCTCAGAGGACATCTCATTGTCAAACATCACTAGGACATTTTAGCTGCTAATTTATCATTATACAGACTTTTGTTATTTGCTCTTATGGAGTCGTTGGTGGTTGAACACTCAGGTGAAGAGTTGAAGACTGATCACCACCTGGTTGGGGGTTGGGTCTTGTGAATAGTGAGAGTAACTGGGAACATGTAGAACCTCCATCCACCTGTCCACAAGCCCTCCAACTCACATCTAAGGGGGAGTTTTTCACAGGTAAGAGCAGAGACATGGAACCCAAATGGACCATGTTCAGGGCCTCTACTGCAGATATGTTTTCCAGGACCTGGGGCCAGAAGCTCATTGGTGCCTGTTGTCTAGGCAACTGACGGACCCTTAGATGAACACCAGGGATGATGGAGGCCATCAAGTTGAAAAAGAAGCCTGTCTGCCCCTGAGGACAGCTGAAGCATCTGACAGGTTACAGACCATGGCTGCTGTGGCTGCACAAACAAAAGCTTGATAAATAATTCTGGAGAAAGATCTTTAGGTAGCCTCAAGGAGGTTCTGGCAAACAGTTTGAGGACTGTGGGCACCAGGGGTCTCGTGTGCAAAGGGTGCGTATGCGCAAGTACATGGCGTACGCCATTTTTCACACAAAACGTCAGGTGTATCAAGAACAAATGCACGTGGAAATGTGTGCAGCCCCACGCCAATTTCATGGCTGGGGTTTCTATGGTTACTGGTCCAGTGGCGACACTTACAGGTGCTGGACATAAAATGAGGACTTCATGAAAAAGTTGATTTATTTCAGTAATTCCATTCAAAAAGTGAAACTTGTACATTATATTCATTCATCACACACAGACTGATATATTTCAAATGTTTTTATTTTAATTAGGGGTGCACGGATAAATCGGCCGTCCCAGATATCGGCCCCGACTTCCTTAAATTTGGAAAATCAGAAATCGGCCGATACTTGCACGAGAAACCGTTTTTACAGATTTTTTTTAGCTTTAACAACAGTTGTCTGAACTTCATTTATATTTCACAGCACCACCTCGTGGCCAGTTAAAACCAGTTTGTGCTGTTTCTAGGATATTGTTCAATGTGATGTTTTCAGTAAAATAAGATGGAAAATTGAAGGTGCGTTGTGACCTTATAACTCCTGACAGTGGTTTTCATCAGTTGTCAGTTCTAATCATCAACATTAAAAGAAATAAACATTTGAAATAGATCAGTCTGTGTGTAATGAATGAATATAATATACAAGTTTCACTTTTTAATGGAATTACTGAAACAAGTCAACCTTTTCATGATGTTCTCATTTTATGACCAGCACCTGTTAGAGGTGATGCTGGTAAACTGTTAATGATGTGAAAACTCAAGGTCAAGGTTCTTTATTGTCATTCACATTGCATTTGGTACATGAGGTGGAACAAAAGAGTCCTAATTACATCCAACGAAAGTAAAATCCATTAATTCAACCTTTATTTAGACAGATAAGTCACACTGAGCCTAGAAGACTCATTTACAAGTGAGACCTGTTTACACAGACAAAAAGTAGTGAAACTGGACACATGTAAGAATTTGAATGAATGGAATGAAAAAGAAAATAAAAACAGTAATAAGATCTAAGATATGAACTGAGAAATACGCTAAACTAAGAATACATCCATCCATCCATTATCTTTACCCGTTTATTCCATTTTGGGTCACGGGGGTCGCTGGTGTCCATGTCCAGCAATCACTGTGCGAGGGGCGGGGTACACCCTGGACAGGTCTCCTGTCCATCACAGGGACACATAGAGACAAACAAGACAAACAACCATTCACTCTCTCACTCACACCTAGGGACAATGTAGAGTTACCAATCAGCCTAACATGCATGTTTTTGGTCTGTGGGAGGAAACTGGAGTACCTGGAGAAAACCCACGCATGCACGGAGAGAACATGCAAACTCCACCCAGAAAGGCCCCTGGACCGGGGTTTGAACCAGGGACCTGCTCACTGAGAGGCAGCAGCTCTACCAGTTGCGCCACCGTGCTGCCTACTAAGAATACACTAAACACTTAATAGTGCAAAATCAATACGCCGAACAACAGCAGCACGAACATGAGTATGTGTGATCAGATGAGTACGAATGAACACAGCAACATCAAGTAAATCAGCAGCATGAGATCAGCAGCCTCATCGTGAACAGCCTCATCATGAACAGCCTCATCATGCACA